GGTCTGGCCCTTCCGTAGCCAGTTCTTTAAAGAATCATTTCTTAGCTGGCCTGGAACAACTCATGTAGACAGGCTCTTGGAATTCAGGGAGATCTGCCTGCCTCTGCCTCTGAGTTCTGTAATTAAAGAAGTATACAACATTGCATCCAATAATAATCAATATGTTTAAGAGATGAAAGAACTATGTACTAATACTCAACCAGATCTATCTTAGGTATCTGTCATAGTTATGAGTCAATAAAAACAACATAAGCTGGGCCTTGTGTGGAGCTTCCAGACAATCTTGTAATGATAAAAGTGTGTCAGAGGAAGAAGTCTGTCAATGACTTCTGTCCTAGCACATACAGTGAATATCAGAGTACACAGTAGACACCAAGAAAATAGCAAAATTACTCCTCATCTGGCTGATAAAACTAGTACACAATACAAGAAACAAATAATATTTATCCTCACCAAATACAACAAGAAGACAACCAACAAGTGAAAATTAGCTGCTTTTCAAAAGAGACTTATGGTCAGTGTGTCAATAATGGATGTCTGCTAATATTTCTGTGCATTTTGTTTGGTTGAAAATAATCACATGTCACAGTTTATTTAAAATCTCTATCTGCATATTTAAAACTGTTGGTAAAATTCTCTAACTTGAAGAAAAACCCTTCTAAATAGAATTGTAGCTTAAACCAATTTAAAAACACAACACCTGTTTACTTCCTGGAAACAACTGATTGGCATAGGGGAAGATGAAAATGTATGAGCTGACATTAGCTTTCTATGGATGTCAGGAATAAACAGTATTGTGACTTAGTAAATGTAACTAGTATTGAACTTCCTGAGGGTTTATGTCTGTGTCTTTCTGAAGTATCTTTCTAAAATATGTCATGTGGAAGCATTGAGTTCTTAAATTGGATTTAGAAAAGACGATTACTTAGAAATAAATCAAGAAAGTAAAACAATGTAACCTATTTGACCACATTGTTCTCACCAAATACTTTGAGGGACAACAAGTTTCAAGCAATTAACACATTTTAAATTACTGTATTTAAATATTTACTCTTCACATCAGAATGCCTTTGATTCTTTTGTGTACATTTGTTAATGTTTGGTTTTATCACTTACAGTGTGTTACTGTAGTTCATTAAATATAAGTTGCCAGTAATTAGAATGGGAACATAATTATATGTTTCACTAAGAAAGATAAGAACACTATAATTATAATAGTAAGACCTCATTAACTGTTAAGAAGCACCCCAATTTCAAGGATATTAAAATCTGTGTGTGATGGGCTAAGCACACCTAGAGTAATAATAGCTAAGTTTCTGGGTGAATAACAGAACAAAACCAAGATGTTGTCTCAAAATCCCAGATCCTCTCTCAAAATGAGTCTATGTATATAGCCCAGGTCAAGAAAAGACATTAAACCAAGACCCCTCATGTCTTTGCAATACTTTCCCTACCTAAAGCATGATCCAAAACTGACTTCTCATGAAATATAAATTTCAGCTCTCTATCAAGGAAGGATTCCAGGATTTCTTCAACGTTTTTATTTCTATTTCACTAGGAAAATTTGGTCACCCTGTATAAAGGTAATGGAGGCACAGGAACATGTTCAGGAAGCCATAGCTATAACAACACCATCTCTTTACATGGAAGAGGGGAGTGTCAGATATTAAAAGTCAACTAGAGGTCTACTCAATGTATAACCTACTAGGCCAGGAATGGTGTGTCTAGCTTATATGTAAATACACAGACATGGATGTTGATAGTTTTTGCAGCTTCAGATGTTGACTACTATGGAAAACTCCTTTTGAGGACAATTAGTATTTTAGTTTGGTTTGTCTAGAAGCAGAGCCTAGATAGATACTTGATTAATCAATGTATTAATTATGAAAGAAATATTGCTTTTGGGAGATGCACAGATCTTAGTGTAAGATGGTGAATGGAGCATGGGGAAAGCCTAGAAAGTAAAACTATGGAACCAGTCCAAAGTTAGCACCAGGTTGCTCCTAAAGACTGTATTATAGACAGATTCCACTATATCCTTGGTGCATCTTTCATGGTGAAGTCACTGCACAAAGTATGAGAAGATGGGTATCTGGCAGCTCCTGTTTGACTTTAAGTATTTTTAGGAGATCAGCAGTTACAGCTACCTTGGGATTGCAGTTCATAGCTGCTGGAGGATGCCTGCTGCAGCCACTGGTTTCCCGTGCTCCAGCATGTGATGCTGAGTATTGCCTTCCTCAATCATTTGCTTTGCTTATTAATATCTCCATTCACTGATTCGTTACCCTATATTAAATGTCTCCTATTATGCAGGCTTTCAGAATGTAGATGAGAATACTCAGGACTACCTAATTGTCACTCATGGCATCTTCTCACCCAGGGACAAAGCACTCACACACCTCTCACACACATAAAAACAGGAGCACTTTCCAGGTATGGTGACTCACACCTGTAATTCCAACTCTTGCAAGTCTGGGGCAGTTGGATTGCCATGAGTTTAAGTCTAGTCTGGGCTACATAATGAGTCTTAGATTACCCTGTCCTATAGTAAAGTATCTGTCTACAAAAAAAGGAAGGAAAGAAGAAAGGAAGGAGGGAGGGAGGGAGGAAAGGAGGAAGGAAGAGAGGGACAAAGAAAGGAAGGCAGGGAAGGGAGGAAAGGGAGCGAGGAGGGAGGGAAGAAAGGAAAGAAGGAAGGGAGGAAGGGAAGGAGGGAAGAAGGAAGGGGAGGAAAGGAAGGCAGAAAATAACATTAAGACAAAAAAGCAAAAAGCAGCACTATGGAGTGTAACATGTACTCGTCCTGCTAGCCACCTGGGCCCTGACGAGCTGTTTGAGCCCCCAAATAACACACAGGACGCTATATCAATTATAAGTTGTTGGCTCTTTGCTATGCTTTCTTATTGCCTAGCTCTGACTTAATATTTAACCCATAATTGCTAATCTGAGTATTTCCATGTCTCTTACTGAAGAAAGGTTCCAGACCTCTTACTTCTATAGCATCCTACATTGTGTCTGTCTGTGCCTCTCTTTCCCAGAATCATCCTCAACTCCTAGTCCCACCTATCTTGCTTTCCTATTGACCAACAGTGCTTTATTCAACAACCAATAAGAGAGACAGATTTACAGAATGACATCTCCCATCAATGGAGTACTTAGGAAGCATCTTATAAGTTCAACCTTCCAAAGACATCTCAGATCCACCTCTCCATCATCAACTCTGTACCACAATGCTCAACCCACTAAGAGCCCCAGGTTCCACTACTGTAAAGGTCCTAAATCCTTCTGCAGTTAAGTGTCATCACTCTTAATCCATCATCTCCATTGGGACTCATTCCTCTTTATGTGTTCCATGTATTCCCCTTTTCCAAGCAAGAAGTGTCACATTCATTGGATGGTTTAGAGAACAAGGAAGGACCACAAACTGCCCTTCACCAGGTCCCTCACTGGACTGTGAAAGCATCTACTACAGTTTGCTTCAAGCTTTCAACAACAGAATCAGTACTTAGTTCACTAAACACAGAAAGTACATGAATATTCGGAGTGATTATAAAAAACAGTGTTTGCCCCTGCAGAGAAGGCAAGAGCACTGTGGGAAGGCTAAGGCAGGCTGAAGCATTGATCTGCAGCTGTTCTTGACAGAATGAGAAGGAGGCAAGGGAGAGTGGGAAGAATCAGAAAACAAGAAAGGAAAGATTAAAAGAGGGGGAGAGACCAAGCAAGGAAGAATAAAGGCACCAATGAGAAGGAATCCTTTTAGCACTATGTAGTAATCATTCTATAAAGAAAAAGTTGGTTACAGAATACATCCCTTCCTTTCCTGGCTGTTTTACATGAACATATATATTTTAATTAGCCAGTTCAAGTTTAACTTTTAATCTCTCTCTCTCTCTCTCTCTCTCTCTCTCTCTCTCTCTCTCTCTCTCTCTCACACACACACACACACACACGCACACACACACACCAATCACTTACTTAATACAAGATCTATTTCTTCAAAATTGGCCATATTCTCACCCTCCTTACTGTATGCAAATGGTCACTTTACTCTCAACAATCTAGGTATTTACAAAGCAAGGTAATAGGAAGTAAGGGGTGACCTTGCATACCAGGGATTCCTTAAAGTCTCATCATTTTACTACCCTCATATGGGGGGGTGTCTTCCTGTATCTTAGAATCACACCAAATATTAAAGAGTGGTTCTAAGCAGTCACTTCACTCCTGGCTCCCTTGATAGTTCCTCAGAGACTTTTACTGTGAAATGAGCTCATCTCTTAACAGGGACTGGGAAAATGAAAGAGAATTATGTACTTATAAGATGTAACTTCTTTTATACCTGATCTAGAATGTCAATTTAATTACTACATTATCTACATGCCTTAGAAATATTGGTGATTACTGGGTAAAGAAAAGTTTGCAGAATTCTGTATTTACAAGAAGAGTTTTCAAACACTCTCAGTGTATCTCCACCTCCCCCCCCCCTCTCTCTCCATCCCCTGGCTCCCTCTCTTCCTCCCCCTCCCCCAACCCCCTCTCTCTCCCCCTCTTTCCTCCTTTCTCCCCCCAGTCTCTTTCCCTCCCACCCCCTCACCACCATGAGATCATTCTTCCATCATAAAAATACAGAGGAGGAGGACTGGGGGAAGATCAAGGACATGGAACATTGCATTGTGACAATGACAATTATTTAGCAGCTGACACAATCCAACATGATCCTTCATTAAAACAGAAAGATCACCAAGAACAGTCAGGGTAACTCGGCATTTGCACATTGCCCACTGTTAAGGAAGGCCCTGAAAATGCACATGAGCCCTTCTTTCTTCCTAGGCAAGTGGCTTTCAGCAGGAAAAGCTGCAGCCTTACTTGTTTCGGAGTGGGAGTTGTAACCATCACAGACAGCTGTGCTCACATTCATTACAGTGGCTCTGGAGAGTGGCAATAGTGTGCTTTAGAGATGACTGTATACTATTCATTTATACTAAATGAGCTTGTTCTTCCAGGTATATGACAGGCGCTAAACAACGGTGTCATTGAAACACACATGTCAATAAATTTGAATCCTAAGCCGATTCTGCCTAACAAAGGTAATGATAATCTGGGGGAAGAGAGAGCTGCATCTAATTAATGAAATGCCCTTTGTATTTTCTAATGGTTGAGGCATTAACTTGAAAATGGCTTTCCCTGTAATAATTTACAGCCAAGCATTCTTTAATGGGAAAACAATTTAAATTTATGTGCAATTGAACTACAATTATTTGATTAACTTTATTAAATTCTCGTTGATTTTATGGTCTGCAAGAAGTGTCATTTTTTACAAGTTCCATATGTGGTGGTGTTGAGGCTTTTCAGCCTCAGGACTCAGTTGATGCAGACAATGCATCTCCTTTAGGAACCTTTTTCTCGTTTGCCTCATAGCTATGACCTAGACGGACAGGATTTGTTTAGATGCTTTTCACATGATTATCTCATTTTCATGTTCAAGAAGCAGCTGGATACATTTAGCAGTAGAATTTAATGCATTTCCAGGTAGGTTACCTTTACTTGGAAGTCTGTAAAGTCACTTTACTGGAGGAAGATCTGTACCCACATATTTAGGTTCAATTAGCAACTCTAATGACTATCCTCACACAGTATGGATAGCTAAGAGGATGGGAGAGGTTCCAAATCCATAATCAGACTTACACATTAAAGATTAGCTAAGGGTCAACGTGATGACTCAGTTGGTAAAGGCACGATCACCAGGCATACAGACTTGAGTAGGATCCCTGGGACCCACATGGTAGAAAGATAATTGCCTTACAAATAATGCTCTCTGACTTCCACACACATGCCATGGACACAGGTACACCTCCCACATACTCACACTAAGTAAATAAAAAGTACTTTAAAATATTTTAAATAAATAGCAAAAAAGAAGCAAAGCAAGCATCATTCTGAGGAAGACGCTGTGTACTGAAAAGAACCCTGTAGAAGAAAGGAAATCATCAAGACAGGTATTAAAACTGAAAGAAATGCAGGAAACCAAAAGACAATTATTTGAAAAAGTTCATTTAAAAAATCCCTTGAAGTGGTCAAGATTAAAAAAGAATACACAAACTACCAATACCAGGAATTGAAGGAGATATTTATTAGCGATAGAATACTATTAAAATATTATTACAAAAGAGCACTATTAAAACATTACTAAATATTAAGATAGTATTAAAATATTGTGTATGTTCTGTGTACAGAAGTTCAACAAGTTAGACAAAAATAGATTCATTTTTGGAACAAAGCAATCGAAACTCACCCAAGAACAGATTTATTCTATTTGGCAATTTGAATGATCCCTTCTAAAAAGCAATAGATTAGATAAATACTTAAAACCTTTTGATCAGCAACAACAAAAGCCCTAGGGCCAGTTGATTTCACTGACAATTTCTATAAACATTTAAAGAGGAATTAATAAAATTGTATGCACTATTGTCCATCAAATAGAGTGGAAATCAATACTTCCTCGGTGATCTTGTCAGATCAAGACTACCTGAATACAGAAACAGACCCTGTGAAAAGGAAAATCAGAGACCAGTGTCTTCCATTAGAGTCAGTGCAAAAGTCCTCATCAACCACCAGGAAAGCAGAAGCCACCACTCTGCAAAATGAATAATAGTGTAGTGTTGCACAACAAGATGCTGGGAAGATGACTCCATACTTTAGAAAACCAACATAAACCAGAATCTGCAGATTAAAGAAATCCATGTGTTTACCGAATATGTAATAATAATTGACAAAGAAACATTGGTTCGTGATTAAAATTAGCAAAACTGTCATGGTAAATTACAGCCCTATAGAATTCACATCTAACTTTGAACTTGGAGAAAGCAAGAACTCACTAAGCTGGGACAAAGGAAGAATGCCCCTTCCTACCTAACTGTTAGCATAAGGCCAAAGTAAAAAATTAACAACATGTGCATGAAAACGTGAGTTTCACATAGAAGATTCCAAAGACTCTACAAAGTCTTTGAAGACTTATAACTGAGCTTAGTAATGAGTATATAAAATATAAGATTCAAGTTAAAATTCAAACATTTCTACTGGGTATAAACAAAGAACACTTGGAAAATCAAATTATAAAAAGTACCATACCCCTTTAAAGTAACACCAAAACAAAACCATAGTGATGAATCTAATTAAACTAGATCTCTCTCAAAAAAAAAAAAACAACAAAAACTACACAGTATTATGGAAGGAACAACTATGTTCTATGTGTTCTGTTTCTAGTAGGAAGACTCATATTTCTAATCCTATTTCTAAATCGTCAGTTCTCCAAAAATTGTCTTATTTCAACACAACTCCATTCGAACTCCCAATACAATATTTCAGAGTGATTGAAAAACTAGTATTAGGCTGTTAAGATGGCTCAAGAGTAAAGGTACCTGTCCCACAAGCCTAGAGTTTGAATTGGATTCCCAGAACACAGCTGAAGATAGAAGAGAATTGACTCTATAAAATTATTCTCTGACCTCTTACCCACTGTTACCTGTGCACAGATATTTTAATAGTAAATACATAACTTTATTTAAAATGAAAAATAAAAACTGCTTCTAAATTTTTTGTCTGGTTCGGAGAAAATGGTTCTGCAGTTAAGAATACTTACTGCTTTTCCAGAGGACCTGAATTTGTTTCCCAGCACACTGGGTGGTTCACAACTGCTTATAACTCTAGATCTGTCACTGCCTTATGGACATACACAGACACAGACACACCCACACCCAGACACCCGCACCCAGACACCCCCGCACCCAGACACCCCCGCACCAGACACCCCCGCACACAGACACCCCCGCACACAGACACCCCCGCACACAGACACCCCCGCACACAGACACCCCCGCACACAGACACCCCCGCACACAGACACCCCCACACACAGACACCCCCGCACACCCCCACAGACACCCCCCCACACACACACACACACACACGGTGGAAGGAGGGAGATCTTTATAAAAGAAGAAACTGGCAAAAATGCAAATAATATTTTTGTTAATTGGGAGGACCAGCACTATCTAAAGACTAGTCACAGTCAACAAAATAAGGCAGTGATATTAAACAACAGACCCATCAGAAACAATAGTATTCAGAAAGATTCATGTAATTATTGTCCATTGTTATTTGACAAACATGTGAAATAAACTGAAGTGTTAAGTGGGTGTCCTTTAATTGAGTGGTGTTAGAACAACTGGACAACACACACAGCAGCTCTTCACAGCTCAGATAAGAATTTATTTCAAATGGATGACAGACCTAAATGCAAAGTGTAAAGTTTCTTTAAAAGGCCTAAGTATAAAGCTTTATTATGGATTAAGAAAAAAGATAGGTCACTAAAATCATGAAAAAATTTAAAACTCAATTAAATGTATCAATAAAAAGTAAAATATGGACTCTTAGTCCATTCAAACTGTTATAATGAAATGTCATAAGCTTTTATACGACCAAAATCTGTTCCTGCTGATTTTGGCAGCTGTGTACTTTCACGACAGAAGGGACAAGGCAGTTCTCTGAACTGCCTTTATGAAAGTCATAATCCAGCTACATGGGCTGTTTGATCACCAGGCAAAGCTCCACTTCCTAACACTGTGACAGCATGGGGAAGGGAGATGCAAACATCTAGTATAGCAAATGCTCAGAGACACCGTTATTTGAACAACAGCTGCCGCTGACTGGTAGAACTCACATATCTCACAATGGATTTGTTCAACCTCTCAAAACTTAGTGTCCTAGTCAGGGCTTCTATTGCTGTGAAGTGACACCATGACCATGGCAACTCTTGTAAAAGAAAGCATTTAATTAGGGTGGCTTACAGTTTCAGAAGTTCAGTCCCGTTATCATCACGGTAGGCGGTATGCAGGCAGACATGGTGCTGGAGGAGATGAGAGTTCTACATCTTGATCTATAAGAAGTGAATTTTGTCTACACTGAGCATAGCTTAGCATAGGAGACCTCAAAGCCCATCCCCACCAATAACTCACTAGCTTCAACAAGGCCATACCTACTCCAATAAAGCCATACCTCCTAATAGTGCCACTCTATATAAGTTATTTATGTAAGCCTATTTCATTCAGACTATCACAATTGGCAAAAAAAAAAAAAACCCTTAAGCTTGTTCTTTGTACTTTTTTGGTTTGGTGTAGTGAGTTTACCTGAGGCAGGACCTATGTAGTCCAGGATAGCCTCAAACACTTAAGCCTCATCCTGTTTTCTGAATCCTAGGATTGCACCCTAAACTCAATTTAACAGAAGGAAACTTTGAATCTCCTGGGTTCCCCTGACCACCAACTCCATGGAGACCTGGTATTTGAGTATTTGTTAGTCTATGGCTTCTCACATGATACAAACTATATATTTATTGTAGAATAAGCTTGTAAAATAATTATTTCACCATGGCTTTTTCAAGCATCTTTGTTGCTATTTATCTCTTGTTCTGAGTACTCTTCTTAACTCCTTGCTGTTAACTCCAATTCTGTTTACTCTCCCTTTCCCCTTTCTAGAGCTCCTCACCCATAGTTTCTTCTTATTTTCCTGGTTTCTGTGGTTACTCTAGGTCATGTATTACAATCTAGGCATTCATAGCTGGGCTCCATAAATAAGAGAGAATATCCCATAATTGACATTTTTGAGATCTGGGTTTATCTCACACAATTATGCTCTCAAGTTCCATCTATTTGCCTACAAATGTCATGATTTCATTTTTTTCTTCATGGATACTGTTTGGAGACAGTATCTTATATGCATAAGTGTTTAGCACCCATGAAATCTAAAATCATCTCCTAAACAAGATCTGTATAATAACAATACCAGCTGACATACCAGCAAGGATGGAGAAATCACACAAGACCCTACCACTAGATGAAGGACCACAGGAAATTACTGGCTGCTGAGGAAGGAAGAAGCAGTTTTCTTCAGGCGATGAGCCTCTCTCCTGCAAGGGTATTAATCACTAAACATTATTAGAGAGAACTATCAGAAGAAAAGGCCTGGAATCCCAGAGAATGTAAGGTATCAAAGAAGTTGGAAGCGAGAGACAGAGGATTGGAAATGATGTAAATACAGTTCACTCATATATTAAATCCTCACATTTTTTAAATTAAAAAGAAAGAAATCATTCACAGACATCTCAGCAAAGATGATAATTAAGCACATGAAGATGATCAACATAATTAGTCACTTGAGAACTGCAAACCAAAGCCACAATGAAATAAATATTACCACTCATCTATTTGAATGGTTAGCAGAGACAAAACAGACAACTCCAAATGCTAACAAGGATGAAAACAGCCAGACTTCTCACCCAAGGCTGATGAAAATGTAAAATACCATAGTCACTGTGCATTTAACAAAGCCCTTCTCTAAAAAACAAGCATTTCACAAAATGTGACCCCTCTCCCAAAAGAGGAAAGAAAACTACATGCACAACAACATTTGAATATAAAATTTTAAAAGTTATTTTGTAATTTGGTGATTGGCTTTGTTTTAGCATTTTCATGCATATATGTCATTACACTCTGTTCTTACTCAAACTCAGCCCCCACTCCCTCTCCACCCCCGCTGATCTTCCCCAGCCCCCTTGTTTGTCTTCCTCTCTTCAAACAGTCTACCTTTTGTTTTTTGTGTCACATAAATTCTATTACCCTCAGGAGCCCTACTGCCAGAGAACCTCATAGAGCTGTGTATACTTCTCCACAGATGGTATTATCCATACCCTCATGACCCCAGCCTATCATCAGAGGGATTACCCACAATACCATACATGCCTCCCACAGACTTTTGAGGATCTGCTTCGAGAACCTGCCACTCTATGGAGGGCTCATTCCTGTGCTCACAGTCTGAGCCCTCCATAGAGTTAGGGCCATTTGTTATACCTCATTTTCACATCAACAGTGTGGCCCCAAGACTGATCACAAGCTCCAGTCATTTGATCCAAATCCGCCAAACAGAGATCCAAATGCCCACCTGAAAAAGGTGGAATGGAGATCCATACTGAAAGATAAAAAAAATGACCTGACTCCAGATGCCTAGCTCCTATTGAAGTGGCTGGGGTAATGCCTTCTTGTCCTGACTGCATTCTGTGTCTGTCTACACAAGTCTCAGCCCTCTACACTATCCCACCCCCAAATCCACATCTTTCTTTGCAACACATTTGGGATTTCCACGACCCTGGCCATAATCAATAGGTATTAACCAAAATTATATATATATATATATATATATATATATATATATATATATATATATACACACACATAACTAACATAACTGGCAAAAGTGTACATCAAAATGAATTGTCATGTTGGATCTAAAATTACTGTCATGCATCTAAAACAACTGCTGTGTTCTGCCTAGACAAATGCTGCCAGGTTTCTTTGCATCTCATTTAACATTGATGTAACTGTGGGGTTTGCCTTTTAAAATGCTGTGATTCTGAGGATCTGCAATAAGATACGTGGGCAGTAGCCTGTTCTTAGTCACCAGCCAAAATTAAAGGACTCTTCTACTCTTAATTGGCTTAATTTCTATGGTGGTCTGTACCTTTCTCACAATAAGTATCCTCCAAAACTCAGCTCCCCCATAGTAATGTTCCCCAAGAGAAGCAACTGTGATTATATACAAGACAATGAATTCAAAACGGTAATTAAAAACACATTCAAGGCACTTAAAGAGGGTGTGAATCAATTCCAGGTGAAAACACAAACTTGAATGAAATAAGACAAGAAAGGAAGAAAATGAAATTTGATAAAGATAAAGAATTTCTGAAAGAAACCCAAATAATAGGGGTCAATAAAAAGCTCAACAGGAAACCTCACCAGTCAAATGAATCACATAAATGAGAGCTCATCAGCATTTGCAGACAAGTTAGAGAAATATCTGTTGCCAGCACTTCAAAATTAGTGACTAGTCAAAACATCTAAGAAATAAATAGGTATGGCAATATAGCTAGGTAGATGAAGCTATTGGACATCAAGTCTGACAATCTAAGTTCAATCCCTGGATTCTGCATAGTGGAAGGAGAGAAACAAGTCACATGTACACACACACACAAACACACAACAAATAAACTTTAAAAATCATACATGGAATGTCTTATAAATTCCTTCCATTCTCATGCCTTAAGAGCAGCAATACTCAAAATATCTGCTGTTTATCAATACTTTATCAATATGTTTATCAATACTATATTCTGGGTACTCTTGTTTCTTTCTTAACAATAATATCTGACCCTAAGACCCACCTTGTAAGATCTACTTATCCCTCATTTACAAGTGAGGATGTTGTGATTAAGCAGTAACTAAGTGTTTAAGACATCAAACAAACATCTAAACTGGGATTCAAGCCAGCCAGGTGTAACTCAGAACCTATGCTTTTCATTCCAAGCCTTTCAAGCACCTCATTTACTGGAGTTGACTCTACAGCATGTTTCTCAAATCATTTCTTATCCTTGAATATCTTCTTTCCCAATTAATCTTTGCCAAATTCCTCAAGGATTCTCTCCTCACAGAGCACACCATTTAATTATCCTTCGTGGATAGTTTAAAATTATTTCCTTGCCACCAATCACTCATCCCATAGTAATTCTCGAAGGTGTTATCTATGCATGAAGTTCATTCTCCTCATGACCCAACATTCTTAGTCATTCATACAAGGAGAAAGTATCCAAGATTTAATGAGCACCTAGTTCATGCCTTGCAGCCTGAAAGATTAGTCACTGCTTACTGAAGCTTGCAGCACACTCCATGTAAGCAGAAATTGTCACCCCCCCTTTGTGTCCTTCACCCAATTTCCCCTAAATAGCTGTTAAATTGCACTCCACCAGATTTTTAGGATTGAAGAGTTAATGCACTTGTTTGTTTAATACAGTCATAGATACACAGATCCAAGCGTTGAGAAGGAGCATCATGGGTTTTGTGCTGAAAACAGCTGCTAATGATACATCAGGCCCAGTGTCCTTCATGGCAGAAAACAAGCAGAGGAGGCAAAGGTGTAGAGGTTGTACTCTACGTGTAATCAAAAAGCCAAGCAGACAGAGGGGAACGCTTGCCAAGCTGAAGAATTCGGCGCTTGTAATGAAGGGATGGGATTTCGTTGAAAAACCTACTTCCCTGCCAGCTGGATGATCTCATTGTCACAATGAGCTCTGCTGGCTGATAACCACAGGGTCCTAGGAATTAGGCAGACTCACAAATCACCTGCATAGCATTCTGGCTACACGTTAGAAAGTTGAATTAATTGCCTGGAAATAAATGAAGGGGTGAGGCCAAGAATTGCCTCATTAGTATGCAGCCACACTGCTGTCTTTTGAGGAAAGGGAAAGAAGTTGGGCAGCAGGAAAAGGAAAACAATGGGAAGTAGGGAGGGGAATGGAGAAAATAATGAGGAACTGTTATTTTACAAGCATTTCAAGACTGTCCTGTGAGCTGGATGGGTTACAGGATGTTCTGGTCCAGCAAAATCCAAGACGTCCACGTAGAATACACCCATGCTTTCTAATACAGCAGCCATGCTCAGAAGCACCACGGCGCATCTATATGCAACCCAGATCAAGCAGTTACATGGACGTTTCCTTTTTATTCCCCAAATGAAATGTAGCAACATTCAGGTGTTTTTCTTTGGCAAGAAAGATGGCAATTGAGAGAAAACAATGCCCAACAGGTGCACCACTCACACACGCTCATCAATGGCTTCATTCCAGCATACTCTACAGCAGAAGCTGGATTCTCCAGGCAGGGTAGGCCTTTCTTTCACAGCACCTTCAATTTGTGCAGTTAAAAATTGTTTAGTCTTTAAAACCACACTTATAAATCCAGGCTCAGGATGTCTAAGAGTACTGGTAGTTTCTCCAAATCTTATATACCTGTTGCATCGTTAAGGGGCCCTGCTCCTGGGCAGACCCTTGATAGCGGCCAAGCAAAGATTCAGAACACATAGGGAATTACAAGCACTGTATGGTGGCCAGAATGTCCTGGACATCAGGTCTGAGTGTGTGTGTGCACATGTACACACACGCACACAGTTTATATACTGAAATTATAAACCCAAGTGGGGGAGGTGATCCTTGGAGGGTGGAGTTTGCCTTTTGGAGACGAACAGATCATTATAGAATGGAGACAATTAGTGCCTCACTAGCAACAAAGGAAAAGAGTCCCTTCATCTCTCTCCACCAACATTTCTGCATTGGATTTCTTACCTCTAGAACTAAGAAATTAATGTTTAAAGCATCCATTTCTATGGTAATTGTTACAGCAACTCAAACCACTAGCGAATACCAGACACCAAGCTAGATGTGCAGCTCATTTCTGAGTTGACCTGAAGGCTGATCAATGGGAAGTATTCACAAAATATTGCTATAAGGTGCATTTTATCCATATATAACTTTTTTGGCTTTTCAAGACAATGTTGCTCTGTGTAGCCTTAGCTGTCTAAGATAAGGCTGATGTCAAACTCTTGCATTGAACTCCCCAGTGCTGGGATTAAAGGAGTGTGCCACCACTGCCTGACTCCATATATAATTCTAAGAGGATTGGCATACATACAGGAGCTGAAAACATTCCACCATGGCCACCTACATCTAGAGAGTCAGACATACCAGTACCTTCTCGGATCAAGAAGGTAGGAATGTCACAACAAAAAGTGTTAGAGCTGAAGAGATGACTCCATGTCTAACAACAGTTGGAGTCCCTGCAAAGGACCTGGATTTGCTTCCCAGAACCTACATTTCACGTCTCACAGCTCACTGAAACTCTGGTCCCAGGGGGTCCAACTTGTTCTTCTGGTCTCCACAAGCACATTCACACACATGGTGCACATACTCAGGCTCTCTCACACACATATAACACAAAACACATCTTTAATAAAATAAAAAGTACAAATGACGTAGCCTCTATGTACAGTGCTTCAAGGGTCAATGATACCAGCTCTTTTCAAAGGACTAAGGAATCTGAACTGTCCCTGGGAAACACACACTGCATGAGGACACCATTCCTAGTCACACGGGGTCCACAAGTGAGAATGTGCAAGCTCCCTCGCACTTTCTATTCTTTCTTATATCCCTACCTCGAACACTCATGTTAAGGAATGGTCTTCATGATTTAGTGTATCAACACAAGTGTCAATCACTTAAAAAAACCCTCACATAAAAACCAGAAATGTGCTTTACAATAGGTATCCCTTGCAGTCAAGTTGACTACCAGGACTAAGCATCACAAAGCTCCTGAGAGACAAGTGGTATAATGAGGCTCAGCCTTCTCTTCCTGAAAACCTGGGGATGCCTCTGTTCAGTCTTTGAATGCCAGTCACACTCTTAACACCTGTACTATTTTCCGGATCACTGTCATCCTTTAAACTCTAAAGCCTTCTGCACTGGCTTTGGTTCTCTAATCCCTTTATATGCAGCCCCAAAACCTAAGGCAAAACAGATACTGTGGTGATCTGAATGAATGCCCCCCCTAGACTCATATATTTGAATGCTTAGTCACCAAGGAGCAGCAGAACTGTTTGAAGGGATTAGAAGGATTAGGAGGTGTGGCCTTATTGGAAGAAGTGTGTATCTGGGGGTGGGCTTTGAGGTTTCAAAAGTCCATGCCAGGCCCAGTGTTTTTCTCTCTGCCTATAGATCAGGATATAGCCCTCAGCTACTGCTCCAATACCTGCCTGAATGCTGCCATAATCCACCATAAAAATAATGGACTAAGCCTCTGAAACTGTAAGCAAGCCCCAATTAAATACATTCTATTATGAGTTGCCTTGGTCATGGTGTCTCTTAACAGCAACAGAACAGTGACTAAGAGAGGGATAATTTGGCTTCATCCTCCTATGGGCCACTTTCTTTGCAGAACTTTTCATGGTATGTGATCTAAAGTATCCTCCAGGATCTCTCTTCTTGAGAACTAAGAACATATTTCCCAGGGACCCTGAACCTCCTACCTGAATTCCCTCATACCTGATTACACTGGTTCCAACTTTTGTCACCTTTTTAAATTATACAGCACTTAAGGTATAAAATTCTCCTGTTTTTTCCCGTGTCTTAGGGTTTCTATTGCTACGACCAAAAGCAAGTTGGACAGGAAAGGGTTTATCTGGTTTACCCTTCCAAAAATTAATCCATCACTGGGGAAAGTCAAAACAGGAACTCAAGCAGAACAGGAACCTGGAAGCAGAAGCTGATGCAGAGGCTATGGATGGGTGCTGCTTACTGCCTTGTTTCCATGGCATGCTCAGTCTGCTTTCTTATAGAACCAAGGACCACCAGCCCAGGGATGGCACCACCCACCATGGACTGGGCCCTCCCACATTGATCACTAAATGAGAAAATGCCTTACAGCTGGATTTCATGAATGCATATCCTCACCTGAGGCTCTTTCCTCTCCGATGACTCTAGTTTGTGTCAAGCTGACGTACAAAACCAAACAGTTTAACTGACCCCTTGTCAACTTGATACATCAGTATTAAGCCACAACCCTTCCTTTCTTATTCATCCCCAAGATCTCACATTAAAAACATAAGTAACTTTAAAAGTCCCACAGTCTTTACTAATTCAAACACATCAAAATTTCAGTCCTTTTAAAAGTCAGTCTCTTTTAAAATCCAAAAGCTTTTAAAATTCAACGTGTCTTAACTATGAGCTCCAGTAAAATACTTCCTTACTTCAAGAGGAAAGAATCAGGGCACAGTCACAGTCCAATCAAATCAAATTCAGACTCCAGCTGTCCAATGTTTGGGATCTACCCACTATCTTAGACTCCATCAAAAAACTAGGATCAAAATCTCTCAAAATCAAAAATCTCTTTAAAAAATTTCCAAGTCACCAAGTGGTGGTGACTCACACCTTTAATCCCAGAACTTGGGGAGGCTGAGGCAGGCAGATGTCTGAGTTTCAAGTCCAGCCTGGTCTACAAGAATGAGTTCCAGGACAGCCAAGGCTATACAGAGAAACCTTGTCTTGAAAGAAACAAAAAGTTGAAAGTCATCTGTGAGCTGCTATAAAAATCAAAGTTAATTAAAATACCTTCAAGAGGGAAGACTGGAACACAGTCACAGTGTGAACCAAGCAAAACCAAACTTCAACAGTATGAATAACTCAATGTCCCATTACATGGGATTCACTCACCATCTTCTGGGCTCCTCCAAGGGGCTTGGGTCACTTCTCCAGCTCCGCCCCCTTGCAGCACACACAGCTTGTCTAGACCCCGGCTGGCTCCACTCTGGCTCCATTCCATTGCTGTTGCTGTTCTTGGTGGTCATCCCGAAGTGCTGGAATCTCTAAAATGCTGGAGTCTTCTGCTGCAACCGGGCTGCACTCTCACCAATAGCCTCTCATAGGTGCTCTTCAGGGTGCTAAGCCTCAAAGTTCTCTGCATGACTCCTTCAGTCCTGGGCCTTTAATTGTTAGTGAGGCTGTACCTTCCCCAGTGGCCTCTCCTAGATTTTCATAGTCCTGAGCCTCAGCTGTTCTCCATGACCCCTTCATGCCTTCAAAACCAGTACCGCCTGGGTGACTCTCACACATTACCAAGTCCTGATGCCAACCCAAGGTACAACTTTGCCCACCTCCAGGACACAGCTTCTGTGTGCTGACTTTCAGGAAACACTTCCCAGAAAATATTTCACCTCAGTGATGTTGGTCTCTTAATCACCACGAATTTCTTAGCTCCTGCTGACCAACATCAAGTATCCCAGCAAAGTTTCACTTTAGTAGTTCTGGTGTCTTGTTAATCACAGCTGATTCTTTAGCCCCAGCTAACCAGAACCATAGGATCTTCAAAAATAACAAATGGCCATGATAGAACCTTTAATCTTCCATCTGAAACTTCACGAGCCAGACCTCCATCTTCTGCACTGCTCTCAACATTATCTTCCAAGCTCCTAGAGAATATCCTAATGAGCTCTTAACATTGAGTGGTTTTTCTAGCCCAAAGTTCCAAAATCCTTCCACAGACCTCCCCAAAACATGGCCAGGTCTGTCATAGCAATATCCCACTATACTGGTACCAGTTTGTCTTAGTTAGGGTTTCTATTGCTGTGACTAAACACCATGACCAAAAAGCAAGTTGAGGAGGAAAGGGTTTATCTGGCTTACACTTCTAGATCATAGTTCATCATTGGAGGAAGTCAGGACAGGAACTCAAGCGGGGCTGGAACATGGGCGCAGGAGCTGATGCAGAGGCCATGGAGGAGTGCTGCTTACTGACTTGCTTCCCCTGGCTTTCTCAGCCTGCTTTCTTATAGAACTCAGGACCACCAGACCAAGGATGGCACCACCCACTACGGGCTGAGTGCTCCCCCATTGATCACTGAGAAAATGCCTTACAGCTGGATGTGACGGAGACATTTCCGCAGCTGAGGCTCCTTCCTCTCTGATGACTCTAGCTTGTGTCAAGTTGGCACACAAAACCAGTCAGCACACCCTACATCTTTGAAATGTCAAAGTGGGCCTGCTTTGCTGACACTTTTCTTAACCTTCTCCCCAAATACGGTCACACACTAGGAGAGATCTCAGAATGCAGAGCTTCTCTGACTGACAGTTTGTCTGGGATAAGGACGTCTGCACTATAAAGGCGGGTGTGGCTTGTCTTTCTTTCTTTTTAAATGTTTTTGGGGGGTGGGGGATGGAGGTCTCACTATATTTCTCAGGCTGTCCCAGAACTCACTGTATAGACCCAGCTGGCTTCAAGCTCAGAGAGATCCACTTCCTGCCTCTGCTTCCTTAGTGCTGGAATTAAAGGCATGTACCATCATCCTGGAGGAGTATGTCTTTTTATCATATATAGAAAAATATCAGCTTTACCTCAAGACACAAAGGTTTTGAGATGAGAAACTAGTCATGGCCAACTATGGCTGAGAATCAACAGGGGCACTGACGGGCAGTGTGGATGATAAGGACTCCCAGTTTGAGGTCTGGATGCATTGCTCTTTGGCTTATTTAAAATAAGTCAGGCCAGTCAATTATACCCACGATTCAGAAGCTGCCACATTTTCCAGTGCCTTTCTAACCTGACGTTTCCGTTTGCTCAGCTTCAACCTAAAAGGCCTCACTTTAGAAGCTTGAATCAGCCCTGGCAGGAATATATGATTCCAGCTCTATTATCCCATCTGCTGAACTCCATGATAGTTTGAAATACACTGGGCTATAAGTATAAGTCACCCTAAAGCAGTTTCAGCCATGAGCTGTGGAGAGACTTGTGTCCCTCAATGCAGTGCGGTGAAGTCCTAATCCTCTATGCTTCAGGTCATCAGTATACCAATAGGCAGTGTCCCTACAGAGGTCACAAGACATTAGTGGGAGCCCTAAGGAAAAGATTGGTATCCTAAATGAAAGGGGGAAGTGTTAGAAACCAACACATCCCCAGAGAGAGTTCTGTGAACGTGATTGAGCTGTGCTAAAGGTTGAACAAGAAACCAAAACAAACAAGCAAACAACAAAACACAAAAACACCTTGCTCTCAGACAGGACATTCGGTCCAGCCTCCTGACCCAGGAGCACACAAGCAACAACTGCCTCTTGTCTAAGACACTCTAGTTTTGCTACTTTGTTACAGCAGCCTAAGTAAGCCAATATTCCCAGGAAGAGAGTAATAATGTCCATTACCTCAGAAGTGTCCAAGTACAATCCCTGCACTCAGCAGGCTGAGGTTGGGTCAGCTTGGGATAAACATCAAGAGGATGCCTCAAAAGGAAAGTCACTAATAATGTCTATTTCCAAACTATAAATTTCCTAACTGGCAAGTCCCCCTTTAAGATCCCATAGCAACAGAGTTCTCTTGAGTCTGTAGTCTAATGACTTTAATGGTAACTGTTGTTTACTGATGCTGTATAGTGATGACATCATCTAGGGCAGAAATGGCGCTGCATGAGACAGCACACAGCCAGCAAGGAACATTTCTACAGAAGTAAGCTAAGTGGTCTAGAAGACTGCCCAGCAGCTCCCTTGACTGCCCTTCTCCTTAGCCTGGGGGTCTCTTCAGTGTATCCACACTATCTAAACCTAATAACCAGAGATTTCTGAGGGCTTAAACACCCTCTCGTTTAAAGCATGTCATCCGATGAGAAAACGGAAACACACAGAGTCACCAACAAAGCAAAATATTAGGGCTGGGGATGTAGTTCAGGGGAATAATACTTTTCTAGCATGTTCAAAAACATGGGTTTGTTCCTCTCCAAGATTGAAAAAAGAGTGATGTATAGAAGACTTGATAGCAGGTGAAAACACCAGGCCCCCAGGCTGTACATCTAAGATATAAGGGAACTTTGAGTTTTATAAGTGTGTATAACAGGCCTGCAATCTGCTTTATAGTGAATCTGTGTCAGTTTGCTAGGTTAGTCTAAGCTCAGACTTGATGAGAGGAAGTATTTAGTCCCCCATCTCAAAAAAATAAAATCATGTGTGTGGGAGGATAATGGAGGCTGTGCTTGAGGATAGAGCCATCAATAGGCTCACCCCTGAAGAAGATGGGACATGGGAGCAAAAACAGATGAGACTTATCACTAGGAAAGGTGATTCTTCCCCAGTAAAAGCCCCACCCACTCCTACAGTTCCATTGCCAGCCATTGTAGGAAAGCCACCTTGACCATGGCAGAGTGGAAAGATGTAGAAATGAATTGTCTTTGTGAATGTTAACACTGCTTCACAATGGCTGAGAAAAACAATTAGTTGAATCTTGTCACCTGTGGTGATCTGCAAAATTACAACTATTCAAGGCATAATCTGAGTCATAGCACTGCTGAAGGCACAGAACAACATGGTGCTTACTACATTGATCAGAGCAGTCTATTAAATGAGTAGCTCCTGTGGAAACACAGCCACTACATTCACACCCTTGTGAGGGCTTCTCCCTGTGAGTCTAAGAGGAACCTATGGCTGGCTTTAATGAAGAGAAATGCCACCCATGGTGTATAAACCTGTAGACCTGAATGTGAGGGCCTGATCACATAGACTCTGATTTTCAGTCTTGAGAACTTGATCCGAGGATGGTCCGTGTGGAGAGGCTACCTGGAGAGGAGGACCTGAGATCACAGGAAGTGTGGGCTTCATCTCAGCTGGTTTCCCAGCCGAGCCTAACTCCATGGCACTGTTGCCAAATGGAGCCACAGTGTCACGTGGAAGGGCTAGTTAAAAAGTAACATCACTGAGTTCCGCAAATTGTCACAATAATAGGATGTTGTTTGGAGTCGCATTTTGGACTGTCTCCTTGAGGGGGTCATTAACCAAAACATCATTATGCCTATTCTAAGTCCTTATTGCCAAGAAAAGTGAAAAATGGGTAAGTTCAGAGTTCTGCAACATCTTCAACCCACAGCCCCTCACAAAACCCTCATCCCTATTTTCAATAATATAAAGAGGAAAATGGAAAAGATCAGGAGTAGGAATGTCAGTGTGGCTCTTCCAAGAAGAGCCAGCATACAGTCAGGAGGCGGAGGTCGGGAGAGCTGAGCCTCTCTAGCCCTCAGCTGCATCCCCTGCCATATCTGTGAGGTCATATGACTAAGAAGTCCCAGAAGCCTTTAGTGTAATGATGATTATGAAGGACTAAAAGGTACCGCTACTGTCTGTACAGCCTTCTAATTACCTCATTTCACACTCTCAGCTATTCTCAAGTCTTTAAGGAGCTGTTGAACAATGAAACTGAGAGCAGAGAGCCCCCACTTGATATCCAAACCGCATACCCAGAAGGACAGACATTCAGAGCTCTTGCCACCTTAAAGTTCTCAGATAAGGACTTTCTTGAATCACCTAATAACACAGTCTCAGGCTCCTTCCCATTGTCCCAGAAGCTAGTGCCTGTCCAGGCACTGTACAAATAAGCAAGTCTCACCCCACCTCAAAAGACTCTTGATGGAAACACTTTAATGAAGCAGACCTAATTTTTCAATCTCACCTTTGTAACTTGGTATAAATGAGCTATTCTTCATGTTCTTGTAGCTTGACAGGAACAAGAAAGTGTACCAAATCATTAATTCTCTAATTTGCCCACATAACATAAAACCAGCTGGCTTTTAATATTTAATTAAATTAGTGTGCTCCCCAACTGAGTTCTAATATTCCAGTTCCAATTTTCAGCACAAAGCTAATATAAAACCAAAAAGCACTGAGTGATGTGGGGAGGGAAAATGTGACCTTGGTAGGATAAAGTGAAGGTGTCTACAGATGAAAAGATTTCAGTTTCTTTTTTTTTCTAAGCAATATAAGATGTCCAGAGTTAACATTTTGATTAAAAACATTACATTCTCTTTTAAGAAATAACATCATGTGGTAAAATGCGTGTGCATTTGGGACTGCTTCTGTTTATTAATTAATTCACTTCTCAGCCAGGCACGCTCCAGTCTCTTGCATGTAGACATCATAGCTGGCTCAGGGCGATGGGTGAATCATATTATCAAGACTCCTAGAGCAGCTCATTGTTTCTGCTTCTTGGAGACCTTGAAGCCAAGTGTGTGTGTGTGTGTGTGTGTGTGTGTGTGTGTGTGTGTGTGTATGTGTGTGTTTGTGTGTGTGTGTGTGTGAGTGTGTGTGTAGGAGGTATCTTGGACACATTTAACCTTTGATCTTCAGTTCACTGTCTACAAATGAGAACAGTAGCAACTTCTCACTCATGAAGATGAATTCATATCCTGTCTTGGGCAGAGCTAAGTAGACTGTAGAGGGGACAACCAAGCAAGGAGAAATTGGGAGTGCTTTGTGCAGGTTTCATTGCTGCTGTGTACATTTGTTCTTATAGGAAGCAACCAGGAAAGGATCATAACAGGACCGCACGTTTTCTAATTGGTCGCTTCTGACATGAAGTCTGGGTCCTTAAGTTGTACCTCAGAAAGTACAATATAGGACCTTGTAAATCCTATGAAGCTGTTGCTGCTCTGCATCAGGTCAGCACTACATGTCATCTTGATTTGGATTAAATTGGATTATGCCAAATCTAGGGAAATTATTTTTTAGCTTGTTTTTTTTGTTATTTTTTTGTGGTGTCTGAAGCCCTGAAAAGAGAATGAAGTAGAGGTAGTGTTTTTTGGGGTTTTGTTATGTTTTGTTTTACATCTCTAAAGCTATATACTTATCTCTTTAAATATACCAATCTCTTTTATAATTATCTACAA